TGCCGCAAGAGGTGCCGCAAGTAGTGCCGCACATGGTGCCGCAAGTAGTGCCCGCATATGGTGCCGCAAGTTGTGCCGCAAGAGGTGCCGCAAGTGGTGCCGCAAGTTGTGCCGCACATAGTGCTGCAAGTGGTGCCCGCACATCGTGCCTCGGAGTGCCCGTTGCTGCCGCTGCCCAGCGCCAGCCCCACCGGGCGCCTTAAGACTGCGGGTAGGCCGGCCGCCGCGCCGCCCGGGGATGGGGTTGCCTACCCATCGGCCGACAGGCGTCCGTCTTGAAGGCGGAGCGGCGGCACGGGGAGCGGAGCGGCCGCCTGCCTGGGCACAGTTCCGACTCTGGCTTTTGCGAGAGGAGCGGAACCTCGTTTGGGTTCACCGTGCGCGAGGGAGACAGCTAGGAGGCGTGGTGAAAGTGCACCCCATCTCCCTTGCAGGTGGTGGGGGCAGAAAGAACAGGAACTTCTTCTTCTGTCCTTCCTGGTGGGGGCACCGCCATGCCACCCTTCTAGCCCAATGAAAAGGGGTGCAGGGGGGTGTTTGAGACCTCATCACGTGATTCGTTTATGTCATACAACGGCCCGCGTAGGACTGTGACTTGTGCCCCAGCATGCTGGGGAAGAGGAGTCGGGGGTATGGAGACTGTCCTGCAGAAGTGCAGCAGAGATGCGGTTGAGTCGGGTTGAGCAAAATAATTGCAACTGGCCGCGCTGGACGCGGGTGCTCGATCCTCGGGGAGCCGCAGGAGGGCGAGCTCGAGCCCGGCCCCGGCCCCGGCCCGGCGGGCTGCAGCTCGGCGTGCAGGAAGTGTCCGTCGATGGGTATCTAGCGCCACGCGGCTCCATACGCCACGCTCGGCCTGAGTGCAGCGATGTATCGCTCTCTCGCGTCACGAGATGTTCGGCATTTGTGCACAGCATCACCCCCCCCCCCCTTCCCATGAGCAACAAGAACAACAGCAATCTGAAAAATGGGTTGTAATGATTCTGATCTGACCTAATGTGCTGGCATGGCGGCCGCGGCGCAGGCATTCGCCGGAAGGCCCCAACGAGGCGCTGTTTGGCTCTCGGAGCGGCTCGGCTCCGTTGTGATCTGGAGGACGCCCCGCGCACTCAGCCCCCGGAGCAATGCCGCGGCCGCGCCGGCACGCAGCAGCACTTCTGAGCCGCCCCCTCCTGCGCAAGAGGGTCGGGGGTGCACCAGCCCGCATGCAGGCGCGCAGGCATGGTGTTGCCCATAGCGTGGTGCCCAAAAGCACAATAACATGCACATCTTTTGGAAAGTGCGAGCCGTTTCCGATTTTTAGGGGGGGGGGCCTCTGCTACAGCGTAGAGGCCAACCTTGGGGGATGGCCATGACCCTGCTGCCCTTCTCCAATGGGCCAACCTGTCCCGGGGGGAGGGGGGAATTGTTGGTCGCCGGATCCCCCGCGAACCACGAGGTTAAGCCACCGGCCCCCGGGTGGTTCAAGGGAGCGAAAAAGAACCCCCATATTATTTTATTTCAAATAAATAGACAAATTGAGTTCAAGGTCACGGACGCAGGTTGTCTGAATATTTTAAAACCACCGAAAGGGTGTACCAGGTGATTCAGAGAAGACGCAGGAGCGCGCAGGTTTGCCTACCCAATCTGTCCGTAAGGCGCCACAGCCCCTTGGTATAGGCAAACCCGCTCGCACCTGCGTCTTCTCTGAATCACCCGGTATGTAGTCGTGCTTTTAGGCGCCAAACAATAAACAACCCATTCCAAGGTGCTCGAGGTGCTGACCGTGGTGGCCGGGGACCGTGGCTCCGGCGGCGGTGGCGGCGGTGGAGGCGGCCCCGAGAGCCCCCTGCTGGCCGGCAACCTGGAGTCGGCGCCCTCCGCGGCCAGCTTGTCGAGGCGGCCGCGGTCTGCGCAGCGCGACATGTCCCGGAGCTCAGCGCCGCAGTCCAGCGGGCGGCGGGGGCTGGCCGCCAGGCACCTCGCCAGCGCCCGCGACAGCTCCAGGCAAGGCCTCCACCTACGTTAGTACTCGCAACCCCCTGACACTCCCTGGGCTGCTCGAGGTGGGCCAGACTCACTCCACGCCGGCGGCCTGCTTGTCGTGGAACAGACCGGCGACCTCCTGCCGGGCGCGCCTCTCCTCGCACGCCAGCACTCGCTCTATCTCCCTCTGCCCGCGCACCACCTCTCGCTCGCACTCGGCCCAGAAGTCGTCCTGCTCCCGTCCGCCACCGCGGCCTTGCTCCTCCTGTTAATTTTTCGCGCCATGGCATACATTTTTCATTGAAACAGAATAGAAGTAAGTGTTCGGTGTCGGAGAGTTGCTGGGCAAGTAGTGGTGTATGGTTCCCACCCACCAGGGCCGGGCCGGCGCCGCAGTCGGGCTGCGCGTCCAGGTAGACGCAGGGGGGCCCCGGGGGGCGGCTCACGGCCGTGGCGGGGGCGGGGGCGCAGTTCTCCACCTCCAGCACGCGCGGCTGCGACCAGCCCTGCCCCACTGGCCAAGGCAAACGCGTACACGCTCAGAAAAAAATACCATAGAAATATAATAAAGTTGTGATATAACGACAAGCGGACGCTAAATGCGTGATGGTGCGCCTACTGCCGCTGCACTTGACGCGGTACGCTGCACGAGCCCCCTCCCTTCCGGCGGGCAAGCTACACCTGTAAAGTGGAAGAGGGTCAGTAGAAAAAAACATTTTTTTAAATATAAAAAATGGGAGAGGAAAAAAAATCATCTAGATCCACGTGCAATACTGTTTTCGTGACACATATCAAACAAGATCACGTGATGCGACGTACAATAATTTCCAGGTGGAGAGGGGAGGGGTGGGGTGGAGTGGGGGTGATATCGTGGTGAATCTTGTACCGGCGCAGCGCTCCAGGCCAGGCCGCGCCACGCTACAGCTCGTCCCCCTCGTCGCCCTCGTCCCTCGTCCCCGCTGCCCCCGCTCAACAATGCCACCTCCAATAATGCTCCGTGTCTGTGGGTTAGGCCATCTCACCGGAAAAAAAATTTCGAGGTACGCACGTCTAGTGATAGATTAGACCTAG